GCCAATTTATGTTGGGGGACTTTTAGGTCGAGGTGGACTTAGTCTTTGAGAATGTCCTCTTGTCTCCCTTGGTGCGGGTTCGCAACAAGTCCCAAGATATCTCGAAAGAGATAGCTTGTCTTTGGAAATACCCCGGTAACATCAACAACTCAAAGATAACATGAAAGATCAAGATGACTTGCTCAAGTGAAGCGTGATGTGGAAGCTAGAAGATTATTAGTTTACATGAGAGAGAAGGTTTGCATGGTTGCACAGCATTCTTAGCTGCATGATTTGGGTTTTCCTAGGGTGATAGTAAGCTTCTAATGGTTAAGATGTTTGATGGAAGGTTGTGGGAATTAGTAAGGTTGCATGGATGGTAATGCATAAGACTTGGAGTATGCTTCTATGGGCTTTTTCCTAGGTGGTTCCCTCTTACTATGTTTTCTCTATTTCTCCCTCTGTGTGCATCTGAATATTCCCCCCTGTAACGCTTGCTCCTCTTTATGTAAGTGAAGGATTTCTCTATAGGCTTTAAGAGGACCTCCCTTTGTGGCTTGGTCTTCCCCTCATTTCTCCCTAACTCTTCTACTATTCCTATTTTGGTGTAAGATAGTTGCACTGTTAAGACCTGCAGTTTGCTTCTTCCCGAAAAGCACCTTTCCCAGGGTAGCCTTCCACAAACATTAATTCTAGTAGCATGCCTGGCAGCTTTTACGTGTTGGCTGTCTATGCAGACTGGGAAGGGAAAGTCAGCATTAAATGCCTGACTTGTTGGGCATATCATGCATTTAATGCAGGAATCTAGTTTAATCCTAACTAAGGGCGCGTTTACTAATCTGTAATCAAATTGAAAGGAATTGAATTGAGGAGGAATTGGATTGAGAAGGAATTGAAATGAGGTGGAATCAGAATCGGATTCTTGTTAAAGTTGTTTACTAAAACTGTCTGAAATCAGAGTATGAATGATGTTAAGTCCATATAAGTTGTTTACTAATTCACTTCAATCGGAATGAAAACTCAATTGATTACTATATTGCCCTTACATAAATAAATTATTTTCACACTAATTAATTTAATTAAATTCTTAATTAAATTTATATAATAAAATTCATCTATATAAAAATATATAAATAGGTTTTATTTATTTATTAAAAGATGGCATAATGAGTGTCAAATGAAGGGCAATGTTGGGATAATTAGAAAAAAGTAAGGGCATAATTGGTAAATAAAATCTATTTCGGATTCCTCAAGTCACAAGGAATTGAAATACCTCCCTTATGTAAGGAGTCCAATTCCTCCAAATTAGGAGTTGGATTCCTTAATGCGTGTGGACCCCACATGTATTTTGATTCCCCAAGATTACGTAAACAAAGGTGTATGCCGTAATCGGAATCCAATTCCGTAAATTGATTTCAATTACGGATACGTAAACGTGCCATAAGGGAGTCGGCCTGTTAGGGAAAAAGGTAAACTAGGCTAATTTTCTCTCAATGATGCCTGCATGAAATACAAAGGGTATCGACCTGGATCTTTGGGCTCTCAAGCAACCCGAAGTCTTCCATGATCCCGATTTCATATAGGCCCGTAGTCTTTGGGCTCTCAAACATGTTCCTTGTTTGGACTTGAATGTAGACTTTGCATGACAATTGGGCCTTGAGACTTGGTTGGATTGGTGTGTGACATTTTTTTGCCCCAACAATTATTATTAAAAGAGGATGAGAGTTCCAAACTATTACAATAATTTACATGATGAAAAATTTTCGAACAAAGAACTATTTATACCTGATTTTGCATCATAGGCCTATTTAACTAAGGCCGTTGGATTTTAACATTTTCCTGGATAGTACTATTGATTTTTTAAGTAATTATCTTGTGAAAATATTTTATGAGCATGGAGACATTGAATTGAATTGAAGACAAGACATGGTATTCAATGGACTAATGGGTTTGCATGGCTTATCTTTAGCCAACTGCTAATCCGGCTTCTGTTTTAAAATAAAAGCTGCACGTGGGTTTGGATGGCGGTGATGATGAGTAATAGTCCATGTGAACTTGGATTTTTCCTTCTGGTCAAATCCATGCGAACCCATTCGATGGTTTGATAAGGTGATAGTTTTCTTTTTGGCAAGTTATCCTCCGGAACTATTTAAAATCAACCAATTGATTCCTTATCAGTAGATTTTATCCATAACTTCGTCAAATTCAAAGGAAAATTAGTTTTTCTTTCATCAATTCTTACTTGTCAACTATAACCACTAATGAACTTATGACATTTGAAAACAAATAATGTGTAATGATAATGTGAGATGATCCATTATGTAAATGTTTGGTTTTTTTTTTTTATGTTTTCACATTATGCTATATGTTTTTTTAATTATTATGTATCCATGTGTCAAAATTTTATTGGTGATTAGAGTTGACAAGTAACAATTGACAATGAAATGACTAATTTACCCTTGAATTTGACAAAATTGATTACACAATCTAACGGCAAGGGGTTAATTGATTGATTTTAAATACTTCATTAGGTTAATTTACCAAAAAAATAGTTTAAAAGATCAATTTCAACTGAAGCAATAATTCAAAAGGTCAAACCACAATTGTCCTTTTTAGGGATAAGTGGTCAGGTAAAACAAAAACAAGTTTGAAAAGATATTGATGGAAGACTATGCCTTTGTGATGGAAAGATAGTATAGAGCACGTGGAAATTAGCAAAAAGGGAAGATTAACATGATTAGATGGTGAATTGGTCATGATGGTCTTCATGCATGCGTAGGATAGGTAGCAAATTGGATTCCATTTGCAATGTAACACTTGCAGTAAATGGAGCAAAGTGCGGCCGTGAAGACGAATGGTGATATTTGACAAAACACTAACCTTCTTAACTTCTTCAACGCATGTTCAGTTTGGATTAATAGTACTGTGTTGATAATTAAAGACACATTTAGTTTGGATTAACAGCATTAGAGCCGTAGAGTCAGGTGACCGAGGAGCACCTTCAAGTTGGAATAACAGCAATGCTTCAAGTTCAGCTAACTATTTATCCGAGTCTCTACCAACAAGAAGTCTTGGAGTCTTTGTCGAAAAAAGTCATCTCATTAGCCTCTCGACGAATTGAAGTGTTACCAAGTTACCTAGTGTTCAGCATATTGAAAGCCAAGCCTTCTAGATTGGATATTCTCAATTACATTTCAGAGTTTGGCATTTTGACGGCTAAACCACGTTTACAATCAAGACACGTATCTCCTTCGAGTACTTGTGTTCATATAGTTTGGCACCGAGTTGAGGCAACCACACTCAATGCAGGGGATTCTGAACTTCACAATGGATTAAGCAACCTTGTCTTCAGGTTCTAGAACTCAGAGGCCGAGACAAGTTCCTTCATCGGCCGTGATTGCTCAAATATAGAAGTCAGCAACGCATTCAACACCATCACCACATTCATTCTACTCACTGACAAAGCTCGGTGGCAAGTTGGCAAGCCCCTGTTCACTAGGAGGACGTAATTAGCTCATCAACTATTTGACATGTGCACCACGTTGGCTAAGTAGCATTTTAGCACGTTCAATGGGACTCAATGCTAAAACGACGAAGTTCATATGACATTTCAAGATTCCAATCCGACCCTATTCAGCCGATTGAACGAGATCTTATATCCACATGAGGCGAAAATACTTCTCTCAAATGATAAGGCTGAATGCTCACAGCGCCCTACAAAAACAATGGTTAAAAGAAGATAGAGTAAGATTTAATATTAGTTAAGTCATGATGAAATTAGTGCCTTCTCAATGTTTGAGAAAAGCAAATTAATTTCCCCCTCTCCATGGCAAAAGCATAATCAAGTAAATAGGTACTGTATTTTCAACTTTCTAATTTATGAAATCAAACGGCTTCCAAGAAGTATTTTGTCCATATTTTGAAAATTTCACCAAAACTTCTTAATTAAGTTTGGTCAAGGTCAAGGATTTTGGTCAAGCTTTAGTCATAAGCAGATATGTTGTTAACGAGAAGTTTTGGTCCAATAAGCCTTGGGATGTTATCTTTTTTGTAGTCGTAACTAATACTATTTTTTTTTTTTTTAACTTACGATAGTATCTACACTAAGAGATGGTGGGGGAATGGGTTAAAGCTTATAATGGGCTTGCCATAATAATATGATTCAACTTCGGCTTTAGCGAGAATCGAACCTAATAACCCTCACGTAAAGGAATACCACTAAATCGTAGTACTAGTGTCAGTCGTAGCTAATACTATTAATACCAAGCAACAACTTTTTTATGAAGAAAGTATGATATTCGTTGAACATTGAAATTCGTACAAAATGAGGATAGGGTGCTTACAGTGGACCTCAATAAAAACCTTGTCAAGCCTTTCAACCCTATCGAAGGGAAAAAAAGTGTCCCGCACCAATTAACTACTAATACTATCCTCCAATAATAATTAAGAAATTACATGGGGCTCTTTGAACCAAGAGACCGGGTGATCTAAATTTAGACTAAACCTCGCAAGGCGGTGAGCCACCTTATTCGTCTCTTTTCAACCAAACGTAATTTTCCATTGTCTGAACTCTTTTAGTAGCTTCCTGGTATCTTCGAACAAATGCCCGTAATGACCACTATATGCTGCACCTGCATTCTGAATTGCGGAAGTCACCAATAACGCATCCCCTTCCACCTGGACTTGCTCCATACTCCACCTGCGCAAGAACAATGCTGCTGCCCTTGCAGCAGCAGCTTCCGCATGTAGTGCAGATCGCACTCCTGCCTCCCTACCCACCTGCGCCGCTAGAAAGCCACCCTCCCCATCACGAAATAACAAGCCAAAACCTCCAATTGAACCATTTTCATCCCATGCAGCATCAAAATTGCATTTTATCCACCCAGAAGCAGGAGGCTGCCAACGAAGTAATCGAATGGAGGATGGTTGGGTTGCAGCAACAGTCCACTTTCTATATTCCGCCAGCCAAGTTTAGTTAATGTAAATAAAAAACAGTAAAATAACTGAAGTGAGAGAAGAAATGAAGAACCGTTTTTAAGCACCTTGGAATTGATATACAGATTACAATACTGTTAACAAGAAATTTATACATTACAGCAGGTTCATATAATAAATTTAAATTGAATTAGAGAATCAAATATGCATCTAAACAGTCTTTATAATCAATGGCATCACCAAAAATTGGACTCAAAGAACCATCATGCACCAATCGACAAGCCAAAGAAGAACATTATCAAGTCAAGACTCAAAACTGAACTATTAAAGATGTGAACGTGATGATTGCAAAATTGCTTCTCAAATCTTGATGAGAAACCGGAGCATGAGATATGTATTACCTTCACCAAGAATGCAACTGTTTCTGAATTCCACCTTGTTCAACACAAATCCCTTGCTGTCCACAGCACCCTGCCTAGACTGTCGAGACAGCCTGCTGGTGTCATTAAGTTGTGACTCAGGTACATGCTCAGAATTCAAGCATTCATGGTGGAAGAAAAGGACCAGTTTCCGGCATGCTTCTGAACCATAATTGCTTTTGTATAAAGGAAAAGCTTGATTAAATTAGAATTTCTCATGTTGTGAGGGATTTCACAATAAGAAATTAGCTATAAGATGCACCAAACTTCCTCATCGACTCTATAATTTCTGCAATAGTTGACCCTGCAGTCCCAACAAATCCAAGAGAAGCACAACTACAAATATTTTTCTCTATATATAGAAGAACATCAGGTAATCCTGGAGGGCAACCCTTCTTAACCTGACTAGTCCGATCATGATTCTTCAGAAAGGTCCCAAACTTCATGCCATGACTTGCATCCACAATTCTTTTGCCAGTTTGTATTATCAACTTGTCTTTTTCTTTCAGGAAAAACAGTTTAAACTGATGCGAATCTTTAACCAATTCCCCCAAATAAGTTCCTGTCCAGTTACTTTCAGGAAGATTAGTCATCATAAAAATAGGAATAGGAAGAGGGCTCTGTGTCAAACCATCCAAAGTTTGTTTTAGCTTCGAAAAAGTAGCCTTCCAATGGTTCTTGAACTGTCCATCTAGCAATCTGACCTGTGCACAAAGAAAAGGAGCCCTTCTAATATCATGAGCAAACTTCTTTCCTGCACTTATGATTTCCGGTTTAAAAGGAAGGAATCCAATCTTGTCAATCAGAGTTTGTATCCTTCGATCACTCGGAGCTTCATGGATACTAATGTGTAGCTCCGAACCTTTGTAAGGTGCAGTGAAAAGGCTCCCAAATGCCAGCAGAGTAGCCGATTCAGCTTCAGAACCGGGTCCAAAAGCATTATATACATCACGGCATTTTCTAACATATGAAATTTTCTTTTTCTTCTTAAGTTGTTCATCGGCTGGAAAGAATCCAATGCCCCGTCCTCATTACCATTTTGGTACGTCCACACGGTAGTTCTGCAGTCTTCATTAACAGCATATAAACACTTTGCATCCCCATCCATCCCAGATAGCAGAGACTCACATTGCTTTAGTCTATAAAGCACAGAGGCATGTGCAGCCAACTCATTGTAGCAAGCAAAATCTAAATTCACACTGCACCATGTGAGCCATGGAAACATTCCTGAAACAAGCGAGAAGCATAGTTTTATTATTTAACTAATCAATAGAAGCTTGCAGACATTGTATATCAAATGATTACATTATATTTTGAGTCCCAACAATCTCTGCTTAACCATTAACATGGAAACTAGAACAAACCCAATAACCCACATGGAAATTCAAGCACAAACCAGACAAATGGGTCAAGCAAAAATCACAACTTGGTGCAATTAACTTAGAAACAAAAGGAAACCCAATTAAACCCACATTCCAATTCCACCAAAATTCAACAAATTTTCCCCAAATTAGGTCAACAGAGGAAAACCCACGTACCTCCCACTCCGAATGAGCTCAACCGTGTGATTCCAAACCGAAATCCTGATCTCAATGGGACTCAAAACCCAAAACTTTGGGCAACTACCGAGAGCAACGGCGTGGTGATCGAGAACCGGAGGGACGAGCAAGGTCCGGTTCAGAATGGCGGGCATGAGAAGGGCGTTCTTAAACTCGGAAAGCTGGTTGCTGAAGCCACTGTGGGGAGCGTACCAGAGGAACTTCTCTCCTCCGAGGGAGGGGCATTTTGGAAGTAGAAAGTGAGGTCTTGAGGAAGAGGGAATCGGAAGTGAGAGAGAAGAAGTAGGAGAGGAAGAGGCGGGGGAAGAGGAGGGTCAGGTAGAGGAGGGGGTAGTGTTTTCTGAGAGGCCATGGTCTCGTTGTGGGTCTGTTTCTGGTGAAGAGATTCATGGCCGCCTTTCTGCAACTACTACCTACCAAATTGGAAGTTCGTTCTTCAGTTTCTTGGAGGCCGAATTGGATCTGGCACATCTGCCGCTACTTCCCAATTTGGTGAAGCATTGTGACACCCAAAGAGAGATTTTCCGCATTTGTTTATTGATGTTCTTGTATTTAACAAAACATGCACCATTGGTTACTCTCTGAGATTTTTAGTCAGTTTAAGGGCTGATTTGTTATTAATGTGCTTTGAAAAAAAAATTATTTTTATTATGCTGTGAGAATAAGTAACTGGTGAAATAAAGCAGCAGAGTGTTTGGTAATTTTTTTTGTAAAAGTGCTTTTAAAAAAAAAAACAATATTATAGTGTTTGATAAACTTTTATGGAAAACAGATGTGAAAAAAAGCTGGTTTTTTAAAGCTGGGTTTTGCAGCTTTGTGTTTTTGGCTTTTTTCACCCAAAACTGTGAAAAAAAAACTGAAGCTGAATGTTTACCAAACACTTTTTTTATTACCACTTTTTTCAGAATCACCTCAGTATCAAACTATGGCTAATTAGATGAAACATAACCCACGATTGGTTCATGAACTTTCCCAGTACTATGGCTTTGTGATATTCCCCTTTACTTGTAAGTGACAGTCTTATGTTCGAATCTCATAAATGACGATTACAATATCAAATTAGGTTGCCAATTATGTGACTTAGCTGAACTCTCCTCTCCCGTTAGTGTAAAATTTATCGTTGCACTCAAAACAAAAACAAATAAAAAAACCCTAAACTTTCACCCATTTAAATTTGATTCATTAACTTTTACTCGTTAAATTTGATTCATGAACGTACTTGGTTCTAATTTGCTACGCACCTATCAGAGGTGGGTATGATCCACTAAGTCGAGTTCTTGGAGCATGCCTAATGTGACATTAGCATCAGATGATAATGATCTCTCACCCTCTTGACTTAATTCAATTGGGATATTTGGAAAAATAGTCAAAATTTTGACTATGAATAAAATTTTAACCGATCGTTATAAATTTTTATAATTCTAACCAAAAATTGACATAAAAATACTATAATGCCCTCTAGTGTGTAGTTCACACCCATTTGCTTTGCTAGAGGTGGCACCATTTGTGAGGCTGTCAACCATTAAAGGCTTCTGACCCAAATCTAGCTTTTCTTATAGAGCAGGAATTTCCAACGGAGCTCTGAAAATTTTCAATTTCTGGAGCTTTAGAGTGCTGTGCTGCTTCTGCGACTGGGTCTTGCAAAGAAACATGGTGTATTTGCATAAAGGTTTGTGACTGAAATTGCAGTGAAGGAAACTGAGTCTTGGGGGTGTTAATTGGAGTTATTGTACGAATTGGTATTGTCCATTGGGCGCCCTCGCAGCTTGGATGGTTTTAACTTACCCAGGGCCAAAGAACTGCCTTCCTCCTCTCCGGCCCCTGCCACCGCCAAGATATTGTCTTTAAATTTTCCAATTGTATGCTTTTCTTATACAATGTGACGCAACTACAGTCATGTTTTCTAATGATCATTTGCTCGTCTGTGACTACTTATTCAGCAGCAGCAACAGCAGCAGCCAACCGTGCCCGGTCTCTTTGAAGTAAAATATGGGTTTTGAAAATAAACATGGTGTATTTGTTTAGAGGTTCTCGACTAAAATTGCAGCGAAGGAAAACTGAGTCTGGGGTGTTAATTGTAGAGCTTCTGAGTCGGAAATTAGTTGGGGAAGAAGAAGGGAGAGAGCGGGAGGGAGTTTGGGGGTTGTGGAAGAATGATGAGGGTGAAGAGCACAAGTGACAAGCCATTTTCTTTCTCTGTAACTGTGTTTTAACTCAGTTTTGCCTTTTGTTCATAATTTTCCAAAGCAATTGCATAAAAAGCAAGGAAAATAAGGAAATGAGAAAATTGGGGAAGGGTTTTTACTTGAAAATGGGTTAAGGCGGAGAACAAGGAACCGTCAACCTCCAGGAAAGGGCATTCTGACATTCTCATGTCAAGTTTTGGTTAGAATTATAAATATTTATAATAAATGATTAAAATTCAATTCATGGTCCAAATTTTGGCTATTTTCCTAAAATTCCCTTAATTCATCCATATATCCAATTACTCTGCTTAGTTACAAGCTTACACTGCAAGACTCAGGCACGGTTTCGAACTTGAATGAACTAAAAATCTCCACATATTTAAAATATATTCAAATTTATAAGTGAAAACCTATTATATAGGTAAGGGTTGCTAAACTCTAGAATGTCAACATAATCAACATTAAGACAAAAATACAATATGCTAAAGATTTCATTAATTTTGACAAGATTTTAACGTAAACCCACAGAGATATAACTCAAATCCAAACCAGACTGCACATTTCTAGTCTTGTATTAACATTAACCTGTGACATCCCAAGGCACGGCGGCCCTCTAAACTGCATGGATAGGACTGCCACCTGAACCGATGCTTGAACTGCCGGAACCCGGATTTGCATGGAAAGCAGACTGCCTAGACGACCCTTCAACCATTTTAAGCGTAAGCGAGGACGGACCAGAATGACCTAGAGGCTCCCCTAAACTCAATTTTGACATGCCTACTAGCTCATCAACATTTATCGGGCTTTTTGAATGTATTGCCGTTGGCTTCAGAACCTCATGTTTATCCATCATAGTGGGCTCAGTAGTGTATCCAGGCCACAAGGGATAAGGAATTGGGAAAGGGGAGAAATACGCAGGATATACCATTGGGTAATATGACTCTGAGCTATCGGGATTTGGAGCGGCCTGTTCTCCATCTGAGTTGGTGGAGTCCATTGATTCGCATTCTTTATCCAAAGGCGGAGGAGCAGGCAATGGATTGTTGCCTTGAGTTTCAGCTTCTGGATAGTTACCATGTAAGAAGTCCAGTGGTTCCATTTGGGTTTCAACTGACTGCAGAAAATTTATCAAGATAGCATACGTAAATATTGTATCAACAAAAAAGAGAGAGAATTATGCCATGCGAAAATTAATTAAACTATGGACCTTGTTTAAACCAGACAAATACTGCACTCAACTATCAAGAGACTCAAGAGAAAAGTATAGGTTGTTTCTACACATGCAATGGACATGACCTTTTAACAAATCAAAATAAACAGTCAACACAAATTGGTGTGCACACCATACAGTGTTAACCACAGGACGGAAGAAGCTCAAAGCAGTAAATGATTCAAATTGCGCGCTCGAGTATGAAACACATGTACATACTGGTTATGCAAGACGGAAAAGATACTTACATCATCTGCTACAATATCAAAGAGGCTGGAACGTCTTTTCCTCCTTGACACATTAGTCTGCCTAATAAAATATTTCTGAGCATGGCTAGCCACTTGAGTAGGTGTTCTTGATATGACATAATTGCGAGCGATTCCACGCCAATCACCTTTACCAAGCTTCTGCAGTCCGAGTAAAAACATCCTATGTTCCTCTTCAGTCCATGGAGTGCCTACAAGGAGAAAAAGGAAAAACAAAATCAGTCAAGACAAAAAGGAAAACATAGTTCAACTTCTTAAATATGATCCTTTGGTTCTCTTGTAAACATATAACTTTGAGAACTACTATCAACAATTCTTGTGTTATAAACAGATCATCTTCATACAAAAAAGAACAGAAGAAGGGTAAATAAATAACGGTATGAACAATCAAATGGTGGTTTAGAGCACATGGCCGAACATCCCGGAAAGGATATTGCAGTAAACCTGAAAGTTAACAATGCCTATATTGCATATCAAGTGACCTCTCATACTGAATGAGGGTGACCTATGAGATGATTTAACCAGGCATTCTACTAAATGAAATCCAAAATATCCGCGTAAGGAAATTCAATGTATCTGTAGCCCTTAAGCTTAATGACTATAAATATGGTAATGGTAGCACCCTCGCAGTTGGGAGAACTTCTTAAAAGCCTTTGGTTTCTGTCGCTGTTCGTGCTGCAAACTTGCATATAACTTAACTAACTACCATAAGTAGCTTCGCCTACCAGAACTGGAATAGCTTCGCCGGCCTTTCGCCGCCTTTAGAGAACCAAAATTCAGAGAGCTACTTATGCAAACACCCAACAATATTATTAGCAAAAAGAATAATCCATTTTTGCTAATTTAAACAGTAATAATAAAACAGTAAACTCCAAAACTACAATTACAGTGATACCAAAAATAACATTAATCGAACATAATTATACAGAATCGTAATCAAATACTTCCCCGAAAAGCATAACCTTTTTATGTTTAAACTAATTCAATTCCACCGCTAAACCCCATATAATTAACCAAAACACATATCAAATAAGAAATCCAAGCATAAAAGCACAAACCCAAATTATTCAAAATCTAAAATTAAGCCAAAAAAAGTGATATATTCAAAGATTACGGATTAAAAAATGAAAATAAAAAGTAAAAAAACACAACCTTTTTTGCGTTCGCGGCTCGAAGACGATCCGGGCACGCAGTCCTCAGAGGCGTAGCCGTCGGCAGCAGCATGGTCGTTGGTGGTGTCGCCAGGAGAATCCGGATTGTTAGGGAGGAGACCCGAACCCGACCCCGCATAGTGGGTCAGATTGCCCATACTAGCGCTCTTCCTGATGGAGCCGTCGGTCAAGCGAACGCCGAAGAGCTTGACCCCTCGATTCGGACACGTCCGGGAGTTGTGGCCATTGTGGCTGCAATGCGAGCACCTCCGAGTCATCGGTAATGCGGAAAATGGAATCGGATCGGGCGAGTTGGGTTGGTCAGATCGGAGGATCCGGATCACGTGACCCGAAAACAGAGAAGTGGGTGGGTTGTGGGTCTGCGCGAGGATTTAGAGTTTGGTTTCGTGTCTGAATTTATTTGCTTCTTCTCTTTCGCAGAGCAGAGGACAGAGATACAGACAGAGAGAGAGAGAGACAGGGAGGAGAGAGAGAGAGAGAGACAAAGAACAAGTATACTGATGAGTCAAAAACACTATCCATGTGTATCGTGGGGTGGATAAATATGAGAATATATGTGCGACAAATTTTACTATGGGTCAGTGGGATTTTTTTTTTTTTTTTTTTTTTTTTTTTTTGTATTCTTGTTCATTTATAGGTGGGGATTTTAAATTTGATTTTCATTAAAGATAAATTTAAACCATATTATTACTAGTTCATTATGAGACAAAGTCAAACATTCTTCCCTTAGTATAGATAATATCGTTTGTTTAAAAACAAAAGAAAAGAAAAGTTTTATGTTCTATTTTCGTCTAGAACGAATTTGAATCATATTATTGCTAACATTTGTGAGATTAAACCCTACCCTTTAGTGTAGATAATATAATTTGTAAAAAATAAATAATTCAATCTATATTTTTTTCCTAGGCTAGAAAGATAAGACATACTCCAACTCTTGGAATAAAACTCAAATTTTAGATTTTACACTTGCCCGAACTTACCTCAACCCTTGGGCAAATGTGAGTTAAAACTTAAAACTCATTTCTAGGATAAATTTAGCACAGGATTCCCCTCCCCTGAGTTAGTGGGGCTGCCCCACCATATATATGTATATTTTTTTTAGTTTTATGTTTATAAATTCATTAAATCCAACGATTAAGATCTAATCTGATCAAATTCAACAGTAAAAAAAAAAATATCTAACGGTCCAAATTTAAATCCAACAACTAAAATAATTAAAAAAAATTATTTTATATGTTTCATATTCTTTCGTAGTGTTCCACGAGTTTCATGGTATCTGTTCAGTGATTTTTCAATATTTCTCGAAATCTGAATATTTTTAGGTTAAAATGTTTATAAAATTAAATTAGAATAGTCTACATAATTTATTTTTAATTTTTAAAAAGTTACTTTAAGAAATAAAAATTATCCTAAATTCATCCTTTAATAATGTTGGACTAAAAATTTTGAAGGAAAAAATCTGTTTCTATGTTAAAAACTTAAATTTTTTGGATTAAAAATTTTAGATTTTAACCTAAGAGTTGAAAATAATGTAAAAGTTTAAAATAAAAAATAATAATTTATCAACACCTCCACGCCCACCCCACGGTCCCCACCCAACCAGACGGTGAGCCCCACTCTCCTCCTTTCCTGCCGACTAGAGGGTGGAGCTTTCAATCATCTTCGTCGGCAAAGCCGAAGCATTGTGTGCTTTTCACAAGGAATTCAACCCAAAAAAGCATTGTGTGGCTCAAAACAATATTGTACTCATGATTTTGTTTTTGTTCATTTTTCATGGATAATCTGATTCGTTTTAGGGTTCTTTATTATAAAAAGGACATAGGATGTAGATAATTGATATTTGTGGGAATCAAATAATCCAAAGCTTGCCATCCCCTTTTCTTCCCTCCCTTCGTATTTCCTGTTTGTATTTTTTGTTTTTGAGGATGAACTTCAACAAACTTTAAAGAAGAAAAAAAAGTTGTAAAGTTAGAAAATTAAGTTGAGTGAGGGTAGTTTAGGAACCAAAGTTGGGTGTAAGGATTTTTTTTTTTTTTTTTTTTTTCTTTTGAAAAGTGGGACAATCTGGTAGCTTCGTCACGACAGTTCACTCTTTCAGGGGTCGAGAAAACTCACATAGTCATTTCGGCCTTCCCTTGGCCACCATGGTATGATTCATCAGCGCTAAAAATCGAACTCAATACGTGCTGTCTGAAATACGAGTATGGAATTCACCCCCATGATGGTTAAGAGATGTTGATAGATAAAAAATAAAAATATGAGTCTAAAGAGTAAGTTGATAGTAGACATAAAAGTTATGGGTTCAAATAAAATTTTCATATTTTCATTTGGTTTGTCGCATGATAGTTTTGGAAGAAAACATTTGCTTGTTAATTAGTTGCCGTTTTGCAATTTTCGGAAAATTAACAGTCCAATCTTGCATATAGAGATCTAATGGATCTTTGTAGCAATTAAATCTTATATAAAACGAGTACCACTGAGTAAAGATGGCTCAAAGCAATTAGTGTGTGTGAGGATGTGAACATAAAAGAGTCTTACATTGGTAAAATAAAAGCCTTATAAGGGTTTATAAAGGGTTGGGCTATTTCCCATTTTGCCAATTGATTTTATGCAATGGTAGAGCGAGAAATCTATGTTAGGAAGGGCACACTTTAAACTAAAATGGATGTAATATATATAGAAACTGTCATGTTCTTTAGGTCACCTTGGTATCAAATTAAAAGGTGAGTGACCATGCATTTTTTCTTGGGGAGGGGGTAAGTTTAGCCTCACAACTGTTGTGGTTCAAATTTGCTTTTAGCGAGAATCGAACATAAGACCTCTCACTTACAAGTGAAGAGGAATACCACTAAACCTTAGTACTAAGTGGAAACTATATCAAGAGTTGAAAATAAAACATTAAAAGCACATCCATTTATTCTTCACTCTTGACATCAAATTCAAAAGTGAGTGATTATACTTTTCTTTTTTCATGGTGACCATTGACCAAGAGTACATTTTCGTGAAAACATTAGGCATAAGAGAATTTGAAGGGGTTTCTTTGTGCTAATTTGGACACATGAAATCCTTTTCTCTTCTTGATTTCATAGATGATATAATAGAGGGAAATGAGAAACTAACCAAAATAATAGTCTGTAAACAAAGATAAAATAAAATAAAAAATTTGTCTATAGGCAAGAAACGGAGAATATGATTAACGAATGTGATTAGAGAACTATAGTTTGGAATCTTAGATGTAAAAAATTTGAAGGCTTTGTATTTGTTGGATTGAAGTTAATTTGACTAACCAATACGATTACAATTTCAAATCTATAGTGGTATTATAAATATGATTAATGGTACCAGACCCAAAAACAAATTCAGGATGGGCATGAGCCTACCTTAGCTTTAGGATGACTCTACCACTAATTTTACGGTAAAATCTCAACTTTTTTTCAGTTAGTAATACCATTGAGTTGGATCTCTAATTTAATAGATGAATTGTTTATAATATTGCTTTGGTTTTTTTTTTTTTTCAACAATATCACAACTTGACTCAAATCAAGTACAAAGTTAATGAGTTGAGATTAGTCATTACATTATCCAAACTCACATACCAACATAAATAAGAAACAATTAGAGTTAATATCACCATGAAAAATTTGTCATGGTTAACTTCGACGTGTTAATACAAGATTTTACAACAAGTTGTGTACTCCCGCATCTACACAAGGCTTTGAAATGTCGAAGTTTACAGCTCGTTGCACATGTATGCTTTACGTAGACAAATTAACTACGAAACTATTTAGGAAAGAAGAATTTCATCGACAATCCAGCATTACATAATTCAATCTTGTTTTTTCTTATCTAAACCTTTTTGTCATTGTTGGCAATTTCGGTGCCCCACCAAGCTTGAGATATGTTTATTCGACTAGTTTGACGCATCAACATGAAAGGTTCCAAAGTTGTCTCCCTATCTGTTGGATCAACTAGCTTACTTTGGTTGATTTGATTCTTGCCTTTTTAAGAACAGGATTATAGATTTTAACGTAGAATTTGCATTTATTTTATTTTATTTGTGTTAATAAACACGCAAAAAGTCAAGAAATGAAATAAATTCTCCTGTTTTAGTAAACTCAAGAAAGCTAATGATTACCATAATTTCAATCGACTGCAACACATCCACCTTTCCTACTTCTACTTGGCTTATAAAGTTTAACATTGATTTATCTATTAACTTTTATCTTAGCGCTCCTACCAATTTAATAATCAGAGCACCACAAGTTCCTAATTGAGTTTTGGAATCGAAAATTACTTACATGACCCACATACACCGTTACGTGACTTTTTGTATAAAGTAAAATAAAAAGTTGGACAAAAACTTATACATATTTATACAAGACTCACCGTTGCAATATATGTTGATTTATGTCTTAATTGTAAATGATATTACATATCTTTGGGATTTAACTTTCCTTATCTTTTGTAATTAATTCCAGTGTAGAATAAGGTGTATGTCTCTATATATTGTAAACCTAAGAGGATGAATAATATAACGAATTATTTTAATGTATTTCTTCTGTAGACTACAATTTTAATTCCCGCGACTAATATGTAAGGTTAGAAACTACAAATCCTTTTTGCCTCAAGCTCTCAGAAATCAAATTATTTCAACAAGGAATTCAAAAATAACCCCACTCCTGCACAATTCGTAGGAGCTTAAAAACTACAACTTCATCTGATCGGACGGAGATCCCAGCCGGATCTCACCCCACCAAATCCTAAGGATCCAGAGATCCGGACCCTTAAAATTTGATCCAACAACTACACACACAGGAGGCTCTTCTAAACATGATAATAATTGTAACCGTTGGATCAAATTTCAAGGTTCTGGATCTCCAGATCCTTAGGACTTGGCGGGGGAGATCCGGCTGGGATCTCTGTCCCATCTGATCAACTTGATGGAAACAAATTCAGGAAGAAAGAAGAAATGGCCCGTCGAATTAGACGATCCGATTAGATGCATCTTAGCTGCACGGCACAACTATAAAACAGTTTTGTGTACATTATAATTACTTGCCTTTCAAAGGGTTCAACTTCAACCGGCATGTACAACAAAGCCACTTTTGTTCTGTATAGCCCTCGAAGGTTACCTCGTCTGCAAATCATACTGAGGAAGGACCATTGCTGGACAAAAGTTCCATTTTAAGTTAAAAGAAAAAGTGACAGGTGGATAATCTTCATCGCTTGGAAAACCGCCTTCTTTGTAAACGCCTCGCGGTAGAAGCATGATGTGTGATCCCAATGGCTTTCTCTGGACTCTGCTCCTGTTCCTCATCACTAGTTTCATCAGACCTCCATCTCGATCCATTGTTCAAGTTTTCATCCTCAATTACATGACCCTTTTCTCCATAGCTGAAGATTAGAAAAGTAATTTGTATTAAATGGAGATTAACTAAACCAAAATTATTAGTTCTACACTATCAATATAAACCTTCTCCAACAGTGGTTAAAACAAAGCAAGCAAACCAACTTTA